TTAAAAAAATCTCAGTTACTACTTAAAATTCTTTTTTTTCTTATTACCTAAAGAAATATTGTTTTGTTCACACTCGAAACAAAAGAATTATCTCCACTGGATTTTGGAGATAATCTATTATTTAGTTTTTGAAGTTTTTAACAGATAATAAGCAAAATACTATAATGGTTTAAATGGTTTAATATTGAGTTTTTTAATATAGCTCAGTATCTTTTTTTATAGGTTATTTTTAAGCATTTTTATAAATCTGTGGTGAGAATATATTTTTTTTTGTTTCAAACCTATCCCTATCTATAGTTAAAATATCCTCAATAGCAGACATTCTGTCTTTTAACCCACCCTTCGATCGGAATTTGATTAGAAAAAAAAGCAATGGTCACAGTGCTCTAATTCACTGGGTACTCCACAGTATCCATATATTTTCTATTTATTTTCTTTATCATAATTATTATTATTATTAATATGATATTTATTACATAATTTTAATTTGTTTTAATACTGGAACGTACTAAAAGTAATACTCTTTTTAATCAGTAATATGTTATTAATATCAATTATTTTTAAAATATTTTTTTTTTTATTAAAATTTCAGTTTCACAACAACAAAATCTCTTTAATCCAAAAAAATGGTGCAAAATTTAGTTGTAGTTATACCTCCTGTTAATTTAAATGCTGCTTCTTCCTTAGATTCTGCTGCTTCGGAAGGCAGTGAGAGTTCTTTCAACGATATACCACTGACAGCGCTTAGTAAAAATACCAGAAAACAATTATCAAATTCGTTGAATTCTAAGAAGGTCTTACGTTCTGAAGAGGGCTATGAACGGGATTGGCGTGGTATTGCTATGCTAACACAACAGAAAAATTTTTGTGATGAAAATGCTCTCAGCGGCGGTGATCCAATGTCAAAAGTATTGCAACTCTGGTGTAGCAATAGCCCGAAAACAGCAACTTTTGCAAATTTAGAGCGCTTCTTAGGTAGAATCGATCGTTGGGATGTTTCTGATGATATTTATGAAAATTTAGGTAAGTTCAATTATTTACTTAATTAAATAAAGTATAATTATTATTTAATTGTTTAAATAAAAATCACTTTATACATATATTATAAAAAATATATATAAAAATCAATATTAAGTGTTACTGCAATAACAATGTTACTCTGAGTCATCTATATCCCATTGTGATGCCCTCAAATTGCTAGTGGAAGGTCACCCATGCTAACCGTTAATTCCATTTAAAGCTTTATACTGTTCTGATAATCCATCAAGGCTTCCATAAAAATTAATCTAATTTGATTAGATTTATCTTTTCCTTTTTTTTCTGTACCAGGTGGGTGAGGAAATGATATCGTAAATAATGAAATCGCTTTATTTGTAATCTTGAAAGAAGACATAAAAAGTAAGTGATGAAGTGGGAGGGTGTTTACGTTAACCGTTAATTCCATATATATCTTTATACTATCCTGAGTTAATGCATTTAGTCTTCTATAGAAATTAAAGAAATCCGATTAAACTACTCTCTTCCTTCTCTTCCTGATGAATTTAAGCTCCTTTACATAATAACAAGTCCTACATATAATTTTGTTTTAAAACAACTCAAAAAGTTGTTTTGTCGAAAATATTTTAAAGTCGGTTTTGTTTTTGGGTTTGAACTTTTCTTCCTTCTCTTCCTGATGAATGTAAGCTCCTTTACATAATAACAAGTCCTACATATAATTTTGTTTTAAAACAACTTAAAAAGTTGTTTTGTCGAAAATATTTTAAAGTCGGTTTTGTTTTTGGATTTGAACTTTTCTTTCGTGCGTTGTATTTTGTATATCTCTATACGTATTTCCTCAAATTCGGATTCCAATATTAGGAATCCTCCTGATGAAGTCAAAGGCAAAAAGTTGAAATCCTAAACAAGAAAACCGACTTTAAATCCTACATAATCCCCTGCCTGAAGACACCATAGGCGCAATATCGTTGTTAATACTCAAGTAAGAACACTCAATAGAAGATATATTCTTAAGAAGAAATAACAAGAAATGTAAGTACAATTGCACTGCACCCTATAATTTAATAGTGCATTTTTCTGTTGATTATAGCAAAAAATTTTACAATCAATTTATATCTCTATCTACGCCTGGTACGATAATACCTAAAATGATTATCATAAAACTTTATAATTTATGAATGTTCATGATAATCAACAATAATCAAGTTTATTTCAAATTAGCTGATTTATTGATATAATTACTATATATATATATATGTATATGCAGTTGTGGTTTCAATATTATTATTTCAAAGTTATCATTCATGATAGAATATAGGTAAGCCTTTTATATATTTTAAAACTATACTATAATTTTTAATATTTTAACAATATACGTCAATCCAAAAATGCATAAGTATATTTTCCTGTCCAATAAGTAGGTGACTTCCTAGTTTTTTATTATGACTAAGAATTTTATTTAATTTTTTAAAGTAAATATTGTTCTTTGTTTTTGACTTAAAACCTTGATCTCTCCACATTTTTATGTGTAGTTGAAAGTTAAAATAATTGTTCCACAAACCCACCCCTCAACATTGTTGCAAAGATATTTTACTATGCTTTCGCAATTTATTTATATACAATTCAAAAAAAAATTTTTTATCGGGTGGAGGTATGTAATGTGTAGAATTTGATACTCATTATTTAAATATTTAACATTATTCGTTCCACAGTTCATAAATGTTTGCATACTTAGCTCACTTTTGTTTGCCTATTTGCCTTATTACGTGTTTTAGTTTATCTAACTTTGATAATATAATCAAAAATTTGATTATGACACAAATAATTTTATTTATGCGTTAATACGAGTGCTAAACGTGCCAATCTGGAATCCCAAAACAAACTACACACTCAATAGAACATACATACGACTACTATTCACCGATCAGTTTCCATACATACTATCATCATCGCCTTAAAACTGAGAATGATTGAGACAATTTAGTTCGTTTGAAAGGTCAGTTCACTTCCAAGATTAAAGTTCCATTAGATGAAAGCAAAAGTGCACAAACAATTGAACAATAAAATAAAATAACCTCAACGAGTAATATTTTTTAATCAATTTTTTAAAAGTATTTTATATACACATTTTGTGTCATACAATCTTTTAATTTTTTAAAATATATTTTTTACAATAAAAGAAATTGTTGATTTATTAATTGAGGTTTCTCTGCAACAATCAACTTCTTAGAATTTTAATGTCATATAGACTTTTTTTCAATTTATAACTCAACTTTGACCTGCCTTTTATTTCAAACATTATTTGTGTTTTTTTTTGGGTGTAGCAGTGGTACATCCGTACGAATGACATGTTAAGAGATCTTAGAATAGATCCGATAAGTCCTGATGCTATATGCGAAAACCGACAAGCTGCTCTACTTAGTACTAACTAATCACAGAGTAATCAGTCATTGAATAATAGATCAGTCATTGAATAATCACGAAGATTATGAGAAATACACAAATTAGTCAGTGAGATGGGCCCCCAGCTATCAAAGAGTAAAAGTACCCAGATACACTAACTTTGAAAAGACGCAACAAAAAAAAAGAGTGGTTGTTGGTAATGTCATTATAGCCCAAAATGCTCTATAAAGCAAATACATAGAATAGAATAATGAATATGAAGAATTATAGAGTAGAAGTGAAAAAAAGGAGCGATTCTGATATCCTGAAGACACTAATTTGATAACAAATATTAGTAAATTTAAATATTCTAAGCCAATTTTTCCACTACGTTATATGCCGATAAAGCTCGTCGAGATATCAAAGTGTGAAATTGTTAACTTTTTATATTGATTAAGCGAATAAAAATCACAAACGTCATATAGCGTCAACTGATATATATAATTTTTATATTGCTTACACAGACAACTGGTAACAAGAAGTAGTCATATCTTCTGATCTATTTTCGTGTAAGAATTTGAAACTATGAAGTAAGATATTTCAAAAAATTTTACTAAAATACTCTTTTAAATAAACATGCTTTTGAAATAGAAATCATACAATAAAAGAAATGAGTTGGAGAGAGTGTTCAACTTAAAATGGGTCTAGATAAAGAAGACTAACAGTTTTAATAGTGCAGAGTCGTTGGTGAATGAGGCTCAAAATTTCTAAATACATTTCAATATAAAAACATTCGGGACATTAATTAAATCAGAACAGTTCTTACTGCAATATTTTTTATAATAAAAATTTTAGACGAAAGCCTTTTAAAAAATTTTTTGTGAGATAACTGTGATCTGGAATAAAATATTTTTAAATATAACTTCTTGCATGAAGTACAATATATATTTATTACATATCAAATCACAACTTCATCGTGGGCCCATCAATCTTTCAAATTTAGAAACAAATATAGTCACTATATAGTTAAATGCATTCTGTACTCCAGTGGAGTGACACCTAAATCGAAAATGGAGTAAATCGAAAGTGAACAATCTTTGAGTTCAGCACTCACACAATAAATTGCTCGAACCATATTGAAATCTTTATCAAAAACATAGATTTAAACGTAAATGGTTTAACTATTCTAAAGGGTAACTCCCATCCCCCTGCTACAGCAGCAAGCACAACGATTTTGGAGGTGGAAAATTAACGTCCTAATACAAACCGAAATGTTTCAACTCAGTCCAGTCAACTCAATAGGCAGAGTAAATGCGAATCTCCAACACAAATGTGAAATCTATCTTATACTGTGACTGTGAAACATGGAAGCACTCCAGAGATATAGAAAGAAAGATACATGTGTTTATCAATAGGTGTATACGTAGGATTCTTCAAAAATATGGTGGCTAGTTCAAATAGCAACTGAACGCGTGCTGAACCAAACAAATTAAAAATCAGCACAAGCTGAGATAAAAACGAGAAAGTGGAAGTGGATAGACTTAGACAACTGTGAAATTACATAGCGATCCAAGCTTTGGCATGGAATACACAAAGTAGCAGAAGATCTGCTGCGAAAGTGAAAGAGTGGAATGAATATTTAATGATTATGGTCAATCAAATTCATAAATAGGCTGTGGCCATTAGTATGGCGAGATGATAAAAATTGGCACTTGATATGGGCACTGTGGATATGTGAGCCTTTTTGTTATTTGCCCGAAGTTCGACTTTTCTTGAAATATATCTTGCTATCCCAAAAAATAATAGCTATTCTCAAATAATTTGCAGGGTCTTCTTATTTTTCAGATCTCTTTTCCATTTTTCAACTTTCTGATTTGATTGTTATTGGATCTCCGGAGTATAGTGGTGGACTCACTTTAATCTACAGTTATGAATATTCGCAAACGATGTACCTATCTGATTTTAATTCGATAATTATTCAACGTCATTTTATGTACTGTTTTCTTTGATTTTGGCTTCCAGAGAGGTTTTTTTTTAACTAAGTTGTGTAAGTTGATCTATTGTTGTGGATAATGGTAGAGAAAATATTCGCAAAACTCATCTAATTCGATCACACCGAAAACTGGGTGCCTTCAGGATTCCACTAGCTTGATAAGCTAGCGAGTAGTTTGAGTACCAATTTCAAACGACTTATTGTCGAAGACTGACGAACAGTTGCGAAAATGTTGCTGCAATGCTTATCAGTCTATATTTATATTTGAAAAAATTTCTTTAAATTTAATTTGAATTCTGAAATCCAAGAACATCACACTAAGGCCACACAAAAATATAATTAATTTCAAATCTTTAATATTTTTGTTTTCACAAATTTATAAAATTCTATACTTATATATCATAATGTGACACGTACCTTGTCTGTGTTCGCTGCATTTGGTTAGCAATTTTTTTTTATATTTTTTTTAAAGTTTAATTAAAACGATACTTTCCTTCTATGATAAACAATGTCATGAAAATATTATTAAAATGAATACGAAAGATAAAATTTTGTATTTGTTTTTCATATTTTACGTCGCTGTAGTTTTTGTTTGCTTGCCACTAAATAAAATAAATCTTTATGAGCCATTAATAAACAAAGTGCAAAAAATAATTACACCGCAATTATTTACGTCCCCATAATAGGTAGATAATATACGAATATATATTTAAATTGCTAATATTTTAAGCAAATATATACGAGTATCATCTGGAACTGATAAGGTTAAGTAAATAAGCATATGACATATCTGTCATGTACTCATAAGTCATGCTTCAAATTGCGAAAACCTGAAATATATATTTAGATATATAGCTATTTGTTATTGTTTATTAAGAAGATTATAATTTTTTATTAATTAATAAGTTTTATGAACGTAGACATTATATGATCGTGTAGAGGGAAGTCATTATGTACCAAAATCTGTAACTTACCTATATAATTAATAAAAAATATATGTATAAAATTTGTTAAGCTTCATTTAACAAACACCCGATTAGAAAAAAATACAAATAAATATTTAAAAAAATACTTGTATAATAAAATTAGCCAATTTACATGATAAACAAAAGGCATTTCATATTTTTCTCTATGTAAGTTGTTTGCATATTGATCAGGTAATTAACACTTGTGATCCCGTAATTAAATTTATTTTAGGGTAAAAATTCGAATATAAATATGAAAGGGTTCCGTCTTAGTACATATGGTTTAACTGGATGTAAACCTATCATAAATTGTTTAAATATAAATATATATAATAAATATCTCTACAATCTAGTGAAAAAAGTCTCCCTTATAAAGTTATTATACTACCTAACATATCTTATGGAATGCAATTGTATTCCTAATATAGAAAGAATGGAAACGATATCCATTGAAAACATTTTAATACACAGATCCACTCGTTTGCTACTATCAAATATATCCATTAAAATCTATTTGTTTTTTATTGGAAAAATGTCGTTCTAAAATCTAGTTCTAGATATTTCAAAAGATAACCATATTAATCCACCAATTACAACTGTCTAATATAGTGACAGTAGTTAGTTAGTAGTTGCTTAGCTATCCGCAGAGCACCCTAAGTTGGTTGACCTCATTGATCACTAGACATGGAATATTTAAATATCACCTTAAAAAGATAAACAACACAAACTATGTCTAGAAGAAGAGGAGACAGCAGTGCATATATTGTGCCAACGTCCAGTTCTGGCAAGTAGGGCAATGACTGTCTTAGGACACTATTGGGTTGGCGATGATTTGGTTTAGCTTAAGGTTGGCTTAAGCTAAGTGAACTACTTGCACAAACATGGGATGTAGTTATGTGAACGAAAGCCATTTTAGCTTTTGCTCAATAACGATGTTTGTTACAATAATCCTCGAGGATGCAGTGACGCGGTGACTAGTTCCCAACCCTTTTTGAAATAATAACGATGTTCAAGAATCGAATCGTTACGTGGTGTACTTCAGCTAATCCTTCACTTCACTATAACAGCGCTCTTAAGTTGAAAGCGACTGGTGTCTGATCAAAATGATCATATAGAGACAATCGGATTCTAGGTACAGTTCCAAACTATGTGTATAAGATGAAGTCAGATTATTTGAATCCGTGTCTAGACTTTAAAAGGAATTTGCAGCAAATATTGCCTTCAACAAACCAATGGAAAAGAAAAAACTTGAAAGCAAATTACGATATCTCAATCTATACGGATGGCTCGGGGTTGATGTAGGAATCTTCGCGCCATCTGGGAGCATAAGGCCATAGCATAGTGAAACATGTCGGCAAATTGCAAGTCACATCAAGGATAGATGTAGAGTAATTGCGCATTCCGCATAATCCTTACTGCAAAAGTTGTGGAAACCTGCAGGGAAAATAAACCATAAAACACTGTAAAAAAGAAGATACTTCTTTGACAATTTATCAGACTGTTTATCGATAAAAACGAAAGACCTATTAAACTATGTAAATTCGATGGAATCGTTTTTTGCTATACTCTTCTATATTAGAGATTCTTCCGAAGAATTGATAGCAAAACGGCGAAAAATCGCTAATTGAGGTAAATGTAAGTTAACTAATTGCCTGCCACTGTAACCAACCAACCCACCTTCACTTCAGTGGGGCTACTTGGTTGACGGCGCACTGACCCAACGTCTCAAAATATATATATATATAATACAGTAGCATGAAATTGGGAATGACTATACTCTATAGTAATACTCTATAGATAATTTATATACGGTATGCTGAAACCTACAAAGTTATACAAAGAATATCTTGAAGACGCTAGATAATATACGCAAAAAAAGAAACCGGGAAGATTATTTTAGTTCAAGTTCCTTGCAAAATACACTCCCGATTATTCGCTGGCTCTAAATCTCAAGGCATTTT